GAACGAGAGGACATGGATGGAAGCTTGAAACTCAGATGAGTCACAGAGATGTTAGGAAGTTTTCTTTTAGCGTGAGAGTAGTGGGGAAATGGAATGCACTTCAGGAACAGGTTGTGGAAGCAAATACTATTCATAATTTTAAAACCAGGTATGATAGGGAAATAGGACAGGAGTCATTGCTGTAAACAACCGATGCTCGAAAGGCGGGATCCAAGAGTCAATGCTCGATCCTGCAGACACAACTAGGTGAGTACACACACACACACACACACACACACACTCACACAGCCTGGCGGCTGTCCACTTGGACGTACAGCCTCGCGGCTGATTGGACAGCGCTCTGGGGTCATAGTCCTAAGGGTCCGAGCTCGATCCCCGGCAGAAACAAATACGCAGAGTTTCTTTGACCCTGGTGCACCTGTTCACCTAGCAGTAAATAGGTACCTGGGAGTTAGACAGCTGCTACGGGCTGCTGTATGGGGATGTGTGTGTGTATGTGTGTACTCACCAATTTGTGCTTGCGGGGGTTGAGCTCTGGCTCCTTGGTCCCGTCTCTCAACTGTCGATCAACTTGTCAATCAACTGTTTGTGTGTGTGTGTGTGTGTGTGAGAGAGAGAGAGTGAGAAATATATGTGTAATAGTAAATATGATAGAGGAAAATAGATCGGGAGTCAGTACACTAGAGAACTGACGATTGGAAAAGCGGGGTCCAGGAGCTAACAGCTGGTCATTCCCTCCTGCTCTTCCTCATCCTCACTCCCTTCATCACTCTTCCCACCCCCTCACTCACCCCTTCATCTTATTCTTAAATATACAGTTGATATCAGACGGGCTCACCATAGCCCGTGCTACTTGGAACTTTTATGTTTCGGGTAGCGAATCTTAAACAACAACACAACAGTTGATATTTATAGATAATTCGTGTTACGTTATTATTATTATTATTACGTTTTCTTTGGTAAATAATTTACTGTAAATTCGTGTAAACTAACCCAACTATATATGTATAAAACGAACATTTATGAACAAGTCATTTGAAGTTGAATTGAATTTGAATTCAAT